GCTGGCAGCCCTGCATGGCACCCCAGGAAGGTGACGGTCACAGGGGGCTCTCCCAGCGACAGGAGCCCCTGTATTAACTTGCACAACTCTGAGGTTCTCCTGACACATCCTCAAGCCTTCACCAGCAGCCCAAATCTGCCTTTAACTCCTCCGAGGCTTAAAAAAAAAAATAAAAGCATCTCGCACCCACTCTGCTTCTCAGCCCCCTCAGGAGCCCTGCAGAGACCCTCTCTTCCCACTTAGCTTTTGCAACTTGTTACTTTATTTTTGAAAGGGCTCTGCTCATTTGAGATCTGCTCTGTCCAACACAGGGCTCCGACCCTGGCACTGAAAGAGCTAAAATAAATCAAGAACACATGGGAGCCCCTTTCTAAGAGAAGGGGAAGGCAGGAGGAGGCTCGTGCTCCATTGAGCTGCTTGCATTTCTCTCTGTGATTTTGTAATTCCTTTTCTCTGCAGTGAGAGCTGTAACTGAGAAAGAATATTCTGCTGACATACTTCAAAAGAATCATATTTATGGCAACATCAGACAAGAAGGTAAAATTGTATTTTTTAAAGATACTAAACTTTTAAAAAGAATTTTGAGAGTAAAGTAAGTACAATGATAATGCATGTAAACAATGCTGCATGTGGAGGTGATGCAAGACCTGTTATACCAGGCCCTTATTAGCCATAATTATGTACAAGAATGTACACAATCCTCTAGAGAAAGCTCATCTCTGATGAAGCAGGAAAACATGCAGTTTTCTTACTTTATTCCATTTTTTCCTACCAGTTGGTGTGACACCACAGCTGAATTAATATAACATTTTTGCTCCACAACAAACTATCACATTTCATCTGCCTGTTAAATTTATATGAATACATTTAGGTGAGCAAATTGAGCTTCTGATGCAATGTTAAGTACCTCCTACTAGAAATATTGTATCCTAAATTGTTAACCTCTCCTTCAAGAATAATAAATTGAAGAGTAGCAAGGGACAATTTATGCCTAATGGCAATTCCTAATGCAACCTCACTGAGCTAAATATGCTGCTGAGGACTCCAGAATATGATTGCAACCGCATAGAGCAGTTGAGGTCATGGCTTTAGAAATACATCTCTCCTGTGGAGCTTCTTCAAGCACTTGGAGCATTTGCTGCCCAGGGAGCAGCTCAGCTGCAGGCTCCAAGTCTGGTGTTTGCTCTCTGGAGACCCAGGACTAAAGGTCCTTGTGCCACCAGCAGCAGCCACCACAGGGACAGTTCCATGAGCACAGACATGGACCAGACACCCACGTAATCCTGACTTCATTTTCCACCTTGGGGCTTTAAAAAGTATAAACTTTAGTGCATCTTTGAAGGTATTTTGTTAATTTAATTCCAGATAAATGTGTCAGGTCTTTTACCTTACTCTCTTGTATTTCAGTTAGTGTCTACGTGAAAGTATTTACAAATAGCCCGTTCCTAGTGTGTATGGATTTAGGCCTTTCTCAAGAAGAAATAATAGATCCCGACTATTTGTGGATTGGTCCAGATGGAAAAAATTTAAAAGGTTAGTTATTTTGTCCTGACTACAACTAGTTTTCACCCTTCCTACCTTAGCCATTTTTTCCAATCACCCATATGAGGTTTTTACTGAAATCTCACACACATAGAAACAGCCCTAGCCATGTGGAGGGAGGGGGTGGGAATCAGGAAAATGTGCTGAGACAGAAAGCAGAAACCGTTTCTCAACCATTTACAAGGGAAAATGAGTCAACCACAAATGGCCAAAGAGATTTCTGTGTGAGATCATGTATTTTCCTTCGTTTCTGGTGATGCCATCCTGCATCAGCCCAGCCAGCGGGTCCCAAGAGTCACAGGGTCCCTTGTCAGTTTTTCCCCCCAAGCTCTGACATTTAGACTGTTTCCTTTCTCCCCCTAAATTCTCAAATGCTCAGTATAAAAACAAACTGTTATAAGTCCTCAAATTCATTAATTAAATGATGTTTCAGTCCAATATGAATCAGTATGCTATTATGTATAAGAGAATGATCTCATCTTTGTATGCTCTAAAGTAGAGCATCAGAAACCAAATATTTCCAGCAATTAAGTATTTCCCATTTCTGTTCTAGGGCAAACGTATATGAATCTTACAGAAACAGGAAAGCTGATGGTGCTGGGTTTTAAGGAGTCCATGTCTGGAGCCTACACTTGCACTCTTTCTCACAAGATCATTGAAGCCGAGACGCAGGACGAGACGGAGGTGTCCGAAGCGTACAAATTCATGGTATATGGTAAGATCACCAGTTTGGTCATGAACTAACACACACAGCTTTTGTGTTTATTTCAAGCCTTGGTAACAGAATTAGTTATCACTATCCCAGAGAAAAGTATTTTGTCAAATTAACACCTACAAAGAACTCAGGGTAACCTGAAGAATGAGATCATTCTCTACAAGAACAAGGTGAACTACAAGAATTCCCGTGATACTCAAGAGCAGCAGAGGAATCTCAGGTCTCTTTCCAGAGGAGACACCAGACAGACACGCTCTGTGTTGGACTCGTTCCCATTAGTAACGGTGGTTCATGAATATCACTTCCCTACCCAACAAAAACATTTCAAAAATGATTAGAAAGAAAACCTTTCCTTTTGTTTTAGCCATTTTAAAATGTTCACTCTCAAGCTACAAGTGCATAGATTTTTTCTCTCATAATACAGTAATTCCAGTACATTTTATCTCAAGCTACAAGTGCATAGATTTTTTTCTCATAATACTAAAATGTACTGGAATTACTGTAACTAAGCTTACAGACTCTGAAATGGTCTTGCTAGTTCATTTATTTTACTACTTGTCATTTTCTTGTCTCATTACTTGGGAGCAGAGCCTCAGGACCTAAACATGTAGGAGTATTTCAAACAGAATGCCTCTTTCCAGGCAGGTCAGCTAAAGGATAACAGCTTGTACTGTTATGCTTAATGAGCAAACTCACTTGCTTAATTCTAAATAAAGGCTTAAATATAAGATGTGAAGTGCATTGGTACGATACCGTGTGAGATAATGTGCGTTTATGTTGCTGTGCTCATTCACAAATCTTTTCAAGCATACAGGGAACCTGACTATACATACAAGATATCTCTTCGCTTCACTACAAAGGAATGCAAACTTGGAGCTAACAAGCAGTTCTTTGAGGAACTGAAGAGAATCCTGGATAATATTCTCTCTGATCTGGCGTGTCATGTCATAGACCCATCATATAAATGCCATTCTGTCAAGATGCCAAAACAGAACCTCCTGCATGAGCTGTTTATTACTTTTCAAGGTAACAGACATAAGTTTGGGAGGGATCCTTTCATTTTTAAAAGCAACTAAGGAATAGTATAAGCATCTGAAATTATATTAGTGAAATATACCTTCCAAAATCGTTTCCCTTTTTTGGTCTCCCTGTATTTTTTCTTAGTAGCCCACAGATGGAGCTAAAATGCAGTTTATACATTGAGTTTGTAATAGTTGCTAAGGTTAAGAAATACAACATGTTACTTTAAGGTGTAGAGTTTGAAGGAATTGTTGAAAGGAGGTAATTGATGGCATCTGTCATGATTCTTCACCAATGCAATCACAAAAGGAAAAAGGTCATAGTCATTTTTCATTTGATTTTTAATGAGTCTGACCTCTGTGGTTTTGCTTGATTCTAAGAAATTGCACAGAGATTAAAAGCAAGAGCTTCACAGCTCCCTTATGGCAATAGCAGGGAGGCTGTTCTGCTGCTCAAAACAGGTTAAGTCAACCCTGATGGCTGCCCTAATTTAAAGCGACTGTGTCACTGAGGAAAGGAAACTGCTCTGAGTGTTTTGACCACATTTTCTCCTGTCTATATTCTCATCGCATGCTAAGAGATTGCCAGTGTTTTCCAAGGTTAACCAGAAGATGCAAATGACAGATACATCCCTTGTAATGTATTTTTCAAAACACGTACATTAACGTATTCTTTTCTCCCCCCAGTAAACCCTTTTGCACCAGGATGGGAAGAAGTTTGCAACCACCTTCCTTACGACTGCGAAGATGAAACAAACAGGAGAGTTCAAGAGGTTGTGGCAGCTCCTTTGTCTTCTCTGCACATTAAACATGAATTTCTACATTAGCAGCTACAGTTTTGACTCATAATAATCCAGTTTGCCCAAAATTTTCTGGAATGAATAGCATTGTAAATTATGGTTTGTGGATTTCTAGTAATTCAACCGAAGATGGAAAAGTGTTTTTAAAAGTCAAGTTGATGCAAAAATTTGTTGAAGAGAAAAAGACTTAATCTTTCTTTTATGTTTACTTCATATAGTAGTAAGATTTTGGTAATATTAGTGTGTTAGCATATTGTGTTCCAAATTCTATAAACTAAATATTTGCATTGTGATTTGGTAGATGGAATAACAGTACAAAATAAACCTGCTGTAGTTGATTTTCAAATCTCTAGCTTCTTAATGTGTATGTGCCATCACACTGCAATAGCAGGTCTGATTCCAGGCCCCCTGAAGCCAAGGAAAGACTCCAGTTAAGGTGACAGGTCAAAAATATAAAGTACTTGCTGATAATCCAGAACAAACACAATCTAAGAATATCTTTTTATTCTGCTTCTAATGTTTCTAAATTTCAGGCAAGAAACCGTATTGAAGAGTTTGTTAATAAACAGACATATACTTTGAAGCATGACTTTCAAACCCCGCCTACAATACGCTACGTGGACCACAGCTTTGAAGTTACTCGCATTGACAGCTGCCGACCAGGTTTTGGGAAAAACGATGTCACCCACAACGACTGCGCTAGTTGCTGTGGTAAATATTAGATCCATTCATTTACATCTTGGATATTAGCCCTGATCACAGCTCCCCCTAAGGAATAGTTTGTATACAGCCCTTTCAAACATAAATGTATTTCCATTCATCTTCTGGAAAGGCATCAAATTGCAGAAACATTTGTTAGTGCAGTAGAAAACGTAACTGTGCTTCAAAATAGAGTAAATGAAAGCAGTGAAATGCCTTTTCTAGGTAATTTGTCAGCATATAGGGTAAATAAAAATACTTATCTTAATGATACTGCCCTGAGAAGTGTTCTGTTATTTTAAAAGATGTGCTTAACAGGACCTAGTTCTGGATTTAGAGCTAGTGAGGGAAAGGCATCCTCAGTAGAGGTCTAGAACAGCTGTAGCTGCATAGCCTTGTCCAATGGTCATGGTTCCTGTCCAAGGTAACGGGAAACTGACAAAAATACTGTAAATGTGCTTTGTTTGCAGTGGTTTGTGACCCCGGAACATACAGTCCTAACAATGAAGTGACCTGCCGAACTTGTGTAAGAACTCAAATCAAACAGTACGGAGCAAAATCTTGCTAACGAACTTAGAAAAATAAAATTGGAAACTGAAGAGGAGTTGTGAAAGCCTTGTCTTCATGTCCCTTTTCTTTCTAGTTACCATTCTGGAAACCTGCACTTAATGTTGAACAACAGCCAGAGCCCATCGTTCAAAATCCTACAGTTTCTGTAATCAGGAACCACTTAGATTGTAAAAACATGCAAAGAGTGTTCAAATTCAATACAAGGAAAAGGATATAAAGAAAATTATGAAGTTTGCCATGTGGTTTTTAGCAAAAAGCCTGGTTCTCAGTGGTGACACCAAACAAGCCCCAGCTGTGCACTCTAGCTTGCACATTAAGGAGTTATAAACAGCTCAGAGGAAGACAGGAGATAGTTGTAGCGAACTGCGTACCATAATGACATAAATTATATATTAATATATCTGCTAGAAGCTATTCTTGCCAGTTGGAAGTATTTTATCTTCATGATTTAAGAATAAAATATTAGTTGCACTTCCCTTTGGTTTTGCCTATTTTTGACAAAAAAACTCCTGTCTGAAACGTTGCAGCCTGCGCTGTGCAAAGCTGGACGATCCCCTGGACGACCCGCCGGGAGCCCTGGCCAGAGCCTCCGGCAGCGGGAGCTCCGCGAGGACCGCCCGGGAACGGCGCCAAGGCGAAGCAGTAGAGCCCAAATGGGCTCCAGGAGGCAGGTTCGGTACCGAACCCCGGCAGCGACGGACACGGGAGCGACGGACACGGCCTGTGCGGCGCCGCTCGGCTGCTGCTTCCAGCGGGAGGGAAGGGCAGAGC